GGGTTCGCAGACGTTATTTTCGGCGGAGACAAGCGACAGCCGGAAATACGTCTGCGTTCGCAGGCTAGAGTATAGCAAGTACTGTGAAGCGTTTGACTCTTTCATCAAAGGAGCTCAGTCACGGTTTACGCATATTGAAAAGTTTAGCCTCAATTTTTCAAATTCGTCTTTTGTAATCCATGTCAATCTTCTTCATCCTTAGCCATCGTTGTTCCTTTATGGTTTATCATTATCTCTTAGGTGTTTTGCTATCTTATTAAACTGTTATTTTCAGGTTTCCTATCATTTAAAGGTAATTTTGTATTTGGCCAAAATAACTCAAAATACCGTGACTGAACTCCTCTAAGATGAACCTTTACAATTCTAATAAATATATCGCATTCTATAGCCGGTTTTAAGCTATAGTCGAAGTAGAACGCTCGAAGTGATGGCGTTACAAACTTGCTGCGGCATTTCGAAGAGCCAGCTCGCAGCCTGTCTTCAAGTTAACAAATAGTCAAGTGCAAAACTGTAGAGTTAGCTTTCAGTTGATGGACTGGTGAATCGAAGGCAATCCGAACAACAGGTTCGAGATTTCATTTTATTGGAGATTGTACCTGGGTGTATGGTAACAGTTTGCTTTGTTTGTTCTACAGTTGCGGATTTTTATGAAGAAATGACCAAAGTGGAATCCCTGAATCCCCTGCGCACATTACACAACGCAGTACCTCTAAAGGAGATGGACAACTTCTTTGATAAAGCCACTGGTCAAAGCATCGAAGCAGTTGTAACACCATTCAACACTCCCTCAAGAAAAGCTCCATCGAAGAAGCTCTCGAGGCCATCCTCAAATCGTACCCAGCTGCTGGAGCAAAGGGGAAGCACAACTAATGAGGACGTCGAGGAGATTGTTACAGACTTGTTAGCTGAAGCCAGTCAGAAACTTGATTCTTGACAGTAATTATCCTTCTTGGCGGCAGTACAGAGCAGGAAAAACTGTTAAGGTTCAATTACCGTGAGAATGTCAAGGGTGTTAATTTGAATTGTTATACGGCTCTGTCTCACATAGACTGGGCACTACCAAATTCACGAATTTGATTGGCTGAAATCGATATTGAAAGGGGTCTAGATTTTCCCATCTGGACCGCCATCTAAACCGGTAATGTTTTGGAGTGAAAAAGTTGCAAACTAAAAAGCAAAATCATTGACTATTTTCATCGAACAATATTTATTTATGGAAGTGCCAAAAAGCCTGATGAGAAAAAAAAGTAAAGAGGACGAGCAAACTTTTGCAGAATTAAATTCAGCTCATCGCCGTTCGCAAGCAAAATGTCAGTTAGTACAAACCAGTTACGAATTAAATTGCTCTTGTAAGCGCCATGCAATAAACATCTTATTAACCGAGCTTAGTCAGTCTGTGTGGGAGAATCTTGACCTCGGTCTTTGCTCACGACCTCGGTCAAGATTCCCCCACACAGACCTCCTGCTCGGTTAATAAGAGCTAACAATTTTTTTTACATTTGAGAAACTAAATTTATTTAATTTCAATTGTAAGTTAATTTATTTATGATTAAAAGTTGCCTTTTTGTACTGATTTGACAGAATTGGTTGTCGTTGTGAGATCAGAAGTCATCGCAACTTCACCTTGTTCTATCCTCTATGGAACCCACTCTATCGTTTAGCCCCAGAAATTTAGTGCTCACGTTTTCCTTAAAAATAAAATATCGCGCACCATTGATACAAATCCGACACGATCCCTTTAGAGTGATAACAGACCGTTTGAGCATTTGACGACAAATTGGCTGTGAGCGAAGATTGCTCTTTCTTAGCCAATTTAGGTTTAACGTCCCAAATAACGCCTGCCAAGAACGGGTCAACGACGACGTTGAATTGAAAATGAATTTAAACTTTACTCACGAATTTGACGATTTTCTTGAGCCATTTAGTGCTATTCTATGTCAAAAACTATCCCACTACTTAAAGGAGCTCAGTCATGGCATTTTAACCCATTTTGGCCGCGTACAAAATTATTTTTAAATTGAAGGAAACCTGAAAATAATAGTTTACTTAGATAGAAAAACACCAAAGAGATAATGGTAAAGTCTGCATACGGGCCAAGTGGCTCATCAGGCCGGAGCTTATCCCGGTTTCAGTAGCATAAANTTAGTCAGTCTGTGTGGGAGAATCTTGACCTCGGTCTGTACTCACGACCTCGGTCAAGATTCCCCCACACACACCTCCTGCTCGGTTAATAAGAGCTAACTATTTTTTTTTTACATTTGAGGAACTAAATTTATTTAATTTCAATTGTAAGTTAATTTATTTATGATTAAAAGTTGCCTTTTTATACTGATTTGACAGAATTGGTTGTCGTTGTGAGATCAGAAGTCATCTCAACTTCACCTTGTTCTATCCTCTATGGAACCCACTCTATCGTTTAGCCCCAGAAATTTAGTGCTCACGTTTTCCTTAAAAATAAAATATCGCGCACCATTGATACAAATCCGACACGATCCCTTTAGAGTGATAACAGACCGTTTGAGCATTTGACGACAAATTGGCTGTGAGCGAAGATTGCTCTTTCTTAGCCAATTTAGGTTTAACGTCCCAAATAACGCCTGCCAAGAACGGGTCAACGACGACGTTGAATTGAAAATGAATTTAAACTTTACTCACGAATTTGACGATTTTCTTGAGCCATTTAGTGCTATTCTATGTCAAAAACTATCCCACTACTTAAAGGAGCTCAGTCATGGCATTTTAACCCATTTTGGCCGCGTACAAAATTATTTTTAAATTGAAGGAAACCTGAAAATAATAGTTTACTTAGATAGAAAAACACCAAAGAGATAATGGTAAAGTCTGCATACGGGCCAAGTGGCTCATCAGGCCGGAGCTTATCCCGGTTTCAGTAGCATAAAGCGACAAGGAGTGTTTCAACTCCCCCTGGATGGGACGCTAGTCCATCGTAGGGTAACCCCCCAGCATTACATTCGCCGGTACCCATTTGTACACCTGGGTGGAGAGAGGCACTGTGAGAGTAAAGTGTCTTGCCCAAGAACACAACACAATGTCCCCGGCCAGGGTTCG